TAGCTTTGATAGTTATTCAATTTTAGGTTGTTTTAATTATTAAATTTATTTATTATTTGAATTCTGTTAGTTTAATAATTCATTGATTCTAATTTAATTATAATATTATTAATTTTAGTAGTACATGTTCAATAGGAGTTTAATAAAGGGAGATTAGTTATATATGATATCTAATAAGATTATTATTACTATTATTATTATTATTATTTAGGAACAAAGGACTCGCAGACTTCTTCTCCGTCAAAGCTACGATCCTATTGAATAGGTGAAGCTTTGGACTAGACCGCATCGGAGGAGGAAGACGCAGCAACATTCGGTACAGCTCCGATTGGACTGAGGATTATAAATAGAGGGTAGAAGGCATCAAGTCCATCATAATCAATTCATTCCGGACTAATTCCGGAGGTGGCTTTGTTCTTCACCGACTCCTCTTCACCAAAAGCCGGAGATTTCCGGTGGGCAGTGCTTGGCGGCGACGATTTCCGTCCAACAGTGGCTTGAATTCTTCCTGGCGGTAGTTCCTTGGACGGCAGTAAGCAAGCTCTGGATTATCATTGAATTTGGCTTTACTTAAGCAAGAAGTTTATCATTGTATTTGGCTTCCTTTTGTTATTATTTATCACTGTTTTTGGCTTTAATATTTTAATTAGTTCATTGCGTTGGATTTTACGTGAAAGTTGATTAGGAGTTTTGTTTCTCCACTTTCAATTCAAATTGAAGTATTGTGGCCGCAGCTTTAATTAAGAGCATGTTAATGGTTGATTATCTCTTAAACATGATTTACTAAGTTTTAATTGATTAATTGTCTGCTATCTTAGTTTTCTTGATTTTTGATTATATCAAATTCTTAAGGTGCCTTTATTTGATTTAATTCTCCGCAATTGAAACTTTATTTTGAATTCTTTTCACTTTTTATTCTTGAGCTATTTTATTTCATGGTTATTCAGTTATTCTGTCTAATTTTTGCAAAGTCTCCATCAAATTGCTGCTTTTGTTTTAATTCTTTAATTCCTAAATTGTGAGCATTGTTCAATTCCTAAACACTGCTCTAATTCTTTGATTCCTTTATTTTCTATAATTATTATTATTAATTTGTTATGTGATTAATGAAACTTTGTGATTTAATTTTTGTAAGTTTCATAACAATGCACTTTATAATGAGTTGCTCTTGCGATTGACTATGATGTTTAGTTGGTAAATTTTAAAGTCTTTTAAGTATTTCTTTAAGCTGTTGTTAGCTTTGAATGAACTGTCAAATTGCTTAGCTTATTCATATTTACTTTTAATGGTTGATTTTTAAATGATTTTATTGGCTTAGCTTAATTTCAATTTAATTATTGTGCATTTAAATTAATCTTGATCTTTTATATTCGTTTTAGTACTTTAAAAAGAAGTTAATTGTTTTATTTTTCAATTTATTAAATTGCTTCGTATCAATTCCCTGTGGGATCGACCCTTGCCTTTGCACATTATTACTACAGTGAGTCGTGCACTTGCGAGGACATTAAATATTAAAATTGTCCATCACGCACCTTAAGTGTCAAACTGATGCACTTAAGTGTAGAACATATACACCGTAAGTGTCAAATTGAAACACCTTAAGTTTCAAATTGACGCACCTTAAGTGTCGAACTGACGCACCTTAAGCGTCAAATTGACTCACTTTAATTTTAGTATATAACTTATGCACCTTAAGTTTCAAACTAACACACTTTAAGCGTCGAATTGACGCATCTTAAGTGTCAAACTGATGTACCTTAAGTGTAGAACTGACGCACCTTAAGTGTCAATTTGATGTAGCTTAAAAGTGTCAACTGATGCAACTTAAGCTTTAAACATATGCACCTTAAGCTATAAACTTACGCACCTTAAGATATAAATTTACACAACTTAAGTTTTAATCTTAAGCACCTTAAGCTTTAAACTTATACACCTAATGCTATAAACTTATACACCTTAAGCTATAAACTTACGCACCTTAAACTTTAAACTTACACACCTTAAGCTTTGAACTTATGCAAAATTTGCTAGATCTAAATAATCTAACTATAATAAACCATAGTATACGAGAAACCTGACCTCGTATGATAGCGGAAGCGTAGCCATGTAGATCTCCAGCCATAGATGATGTTCCTGTTGTGTTGCCTCTTAACAGTAGACCGTTAGCCATGTTTTGTCTCAGACCTGACTCAGAACCCTAGATGGTGTATTGGTATCTACTGAGCCGTCTGAGTACCGTAACTGAATGTGCTATCTAATCCATAATCCTGTATCCCATCAATCCAGGTTTATATTAGGCACAGAGTTTGGTTGACTAACAACTACTAGTTATTAAGTCCAACCAGACCACTTAATAAGCCTAGTCAACTTGCACCACTTAATTAAGGCCCTAATATATAATATATAATATATATTATTAGGGAAAATCTTACAAAATTATCATAATGCCACCCATTTTTTTTTAAAATTTTTCTTCATTCTGGGCTATTAATTTTGGCTAGACCAATGGTTGAGATTTCATCCCATTTTTTACTTGAGAACTCCTTTGCATTTGATCTCGTGTGTGTGTCTGTATATATATATATATATATATATATATATATATATATATATATATATATATATATATATATAATATATATATATATATATATATATATATAATATATATATATATATATATATATATATATATATATATATATATATATATATATATATATATATATATATATATATATATATTTATTTATTTATTTATTTATTTATTTATTTATTTATTTATATTGGCTAGACCAATGGTTGAGATTTCACCCCATTTTTTACTTGAGAACTCCTTTGCATTTGATCTCGTGTGTGTGTGTGTGTATATATATGTGTGTGTGTGTGTATGTATTTATTTCTTAATTATGTATGTATTTATTTATTTATTTATTTCTTTCTTATGTTTTTTGTTTTAAATATTTGCATATAACAAGTATATTAGAGATGTAAAAGTATAATATTTTTCATAAAAAATATTACACTTTCCCTTAAGTAATGTTGACAAGTGTTTAATTTGTTACAATGAAAAATGTAATGCTTATGAGAAAAAATATAATACTTTTAAGTCAAGATGTAAAAGTATTACGGATCGAAGTATATATTTTCTTTTAAAGTATTACATTTAAGTAATAAACACGTTAGTTCCAATTAGTATTACATTTTTTCAGTATAAGTATTACATTTTATATTGATCCAGCCCGTTACGGACAATAATTTGTGAGACAATCTCACACAAGCTAGTTTTTGTCTGGTCTTGAATTAATTTTGCCTGCAAACTCCCTCTTATTATTAGGTTTTCAATATTCGAAATCAGAACAAAGCGACAGTTAAATGGACGAGGTAGCAAAGTTACCATCTAAATCCCTCAGAACTGCTGAAGAAAACGACCACCATTAAAAACAAGTAGCGTGGTGGATCATAGTCAGCATTCTGAGTGTTGAAGTGACTTACAGCAAACAACTCTCACATAAAATATATGTAATTAAAGATCAGACCTAGATTTTGAGGGAGAACACCTCCCCACCCCCACCCCCACCCTACCCCCACCCCCAAGGAGTGGTATGGTAGGAGAGATTATTCTTAGCATGCTTACCTAGGAGAATGTCTGTAGGTTTCTTGATAAAACCAATAGGAAGTAGGGTTTGTCAGCTGATCTTTTATTCTAAAATAATTTATTTTAAAAAAAAGAAAAAGTATATATTGTGAATTTGATGCTACGGAGTATATGTTATAATTAATTTAAAAATACGAGAGTCACAATTTTTAAAATTTCTTTTTTTTTTTTTAGTAAAATAAGATATGTAACTAGAATTTTATCCTAAAAAACATAATATCATTTTCTAAAATTATTTACCTACTTGGAAAACTGAAGACAAAATTACAAAAACAAGAAAAAAAATACGAAATATATGCATTCATTTTTGTGTTTTAGGTATTCAATATAATATAAAGATTTTAAGAATTTGTAGACAGTAGATAGGTTGAAATATATAGAAAATGCAGGATATAATTTGTGGTTGGAACTAAATTAAACATGATAGGCCCGTAGCAATATAATGATCATGAACTAAATCCATCATGTTCATTACATGAAGTTATAGGGATTGAATTGGTACAACCATGCATATAGAACTACTGATGACTTAGTTTGACGAAAGTTACATATCTTTTCATCTAATAAATTTAGATTTAAATTTGTAATTCTTATCTTATATTAGACGTAATAAAAATTAAATATAATGAACAGACCGAACATGATCAAGTGAGAACAAGATTCGAGATAAAAAGCACATACTACTGCAATCCGATGTACTTTTCTTGAATGCAATTTTTTGAATACTACTGACCCTATTACATTGTAGTATCTGTTCAAACATGCTTTCTCAACCTAATGAAGCACAAAAAGTCCACAACGCCTCCACTGAAGTTACTACATACCATCTGAGTACAAGGTGCTTGGCTTTCTTGAATGCACTTTAATGTACCATCCAATAATTTTTATTTTACTAGCTAGATTAACGTTTAACTTGATTTATTTCAAACAACAAAGTGAAGTGAAAAAAGAAAAGAGAAAAAGATGATGGCAAGTAGAATCATGAAATAAAGAGTCCTTGTCCTTAGGGTTGGGGTTCAGCCTTTTGGAAGAATTAAATAAAGATTCTCTCTCTTCTATTTGAATTTAATTGCCTCCAAAAGTAATAAATATATGCTAAAAAACTAAGGTTCCCATTCAAGAACCAAGAATATAATGCAAGTGAAAACAACCATAGTAAGTAATGAAAGAGGAAATATGACATTGATAAAACCCTTGTTCAATTTCCTCTATATATATATATATATATATATATATATATATATATATATATATATATATATATATATATATATATATATATATATATATATATATATAAGTTTTTCTTCAAGAAATCCAAACAAAAGCACTCACAAAGAAATAAATAAAAATCCAGAATATTTAAAAATTAAATCCACAAAGAAAAAGTAAAAAAAATCTGGGATTAGAATTATACATTGAAGAACTATTTTCTTTACCATGATTCTCCTCCTCCACCACCTCTCAAGACTCCATTGTTCCAATCTCTGTCTTCATCAGCTCCATCCAAACAGATCTTTAGGCATTGTTTGGATTGAGGCAAAGAAATCATCCCAGGAGAGTAAATCAAATTTGGATCAGAAATAGGCACTATTGATGGTGATGACATGAAAGGAGCAGTGCTCAACCCTATTGAAGTGAACCCAGTCAACAACTCCATAGCTGAAAGTTGACCTCCCAAGTTGAGATCTTGATGATGACCATGGATCTTGCTAGAGTTTTGATCAGCAGAAATTGGGACAGGTGGCACAAGATCAGCCACTTTCTTGATTGAAGAAGATGATGGTTTCTTGTTGTTCTTTCTTGAACCCCCACCCACAGGAATATTCCTCAGAGATCCACCTGCAGTCCAATACCTTCTACAAGTCTTGCAAAAGTATCTTGGCTGTGAAAGGCTATAGTTATTGTAATAGCAAAACTTAGTATTTCCAGAATTGCATCTTGGACAGTTCAAAACCTGCTCTTTCTGAAACCTAATACCTTTTCTCTCACCCCTTTTATTGTTTCCAATTATTGGTACTATTTCCTCCATTGGTCTCATCACTAACTCCTAAAAAGCACCAAAAAAACATCAATAAATTATTCTTATTTTCATCAATTTCATGATAGATCACAGGAAAAAAAAAAAGGGTTTAAAAGGGGAATGAAGGAGAAGCATACAGAAGAGAAACAAACAAAGGAATAAAGCTAAAAAGAAAAGAAAAAGTCAGATGCTTTACACTTGGTCATCAAAGAAATCATTTAATTTACAGAAGAATATATATGATGAGAGAACATTAAAAGAAAATAAACCCAATAATATATAACAAATTTTATCTTTCCAATATTCTAGCTCATCATCTCATCTAGGCTCTAGCTAGCTACTTTTTATCAATGCACCAAAAGAGTAAAGTGGAAGCTTTCCACTATGAAAACCAGGCCACCATTAATTATTACTTTAATTTTGTGGTGGAAAAACTTACATATGAATCAAGACATAGATTCATCAAAGAGAAGTTGCAAGAAGAAGTAAAGACAGATCTTATGTTCTTGAAACAGTACAGTAATGTCTACCTGTGGCCATTGAGCATTATCCATGGATATGATGGGAGGAAAAAAGTATTTTCTTGAAAAGAAAAATTAAATCACCAGTTTTTATCTCACTAGATTAGAGTAGAGTTTCTCCAAAGGAATGTTTGGGATCGGATGGCATGTGGATGTTCTATGTGCTATATGTGTGTGTATCAGTATATATATATATATGCATGTGGCAGTAATTAATTAATTTTCTATTGAGTATTGTAAGGTATTGTATCTCTGATAGTGGAGGAATATTAACTGTCATTATATTCAAATACATTATTGAACTTCGTGGCTTTGTCATGTTTTCACCCCCTCTATCTCACCTATATAAATTAGGGAGAAAAACATTACTTTTGTCTCATAGTTATGGTATAATACTCCCTCCGTCCCGAATGGTTAGTCTCATTTGTTTTTTGCATGCTTTTTAAGGAATTAAAATAAATACGTATTATGTGGTTTTGAAAATAAAAGCAATAAAGAAAGCAAAAGTTATAAGGGTATTAGGACTCTAGTAATATATCTCTAGTAGGACGACTCTTATTATCTCCATATTATTTATCATTCAGTTCTATTGTTACTATTATTATTCAGTAAACATTATTTCGATATTATCTACTCTCATCTGGTATCAGATAGCTTACAATTACGATAAACCTTATGGTTTCCGCTAACACCACTCAATCGTCGGAAAGGACCCTCACCGCCGACGGCTCTCCATCACCGGTGTCCATGGCGTCTCCCTCCCTCTCCGCTGCCCATCATTTCTTCTCCATCAAGCTCACGTGCCGGGACTATTTGTTCTGGAGGACGCATCTCATCCCCTTCCTCCACGGACAGAACCTACTCTGCTACGTGAATGGTGCGCTGCTTTGCCCGGAGGCGGTGCTGGCTGAGGATGATGGTGTTGCGTCAACTTCGACTCCCAACACTTCCTACCCGGCCTGGGTGCAGCAGGATCAGGCGATCCTATCCATGCTCATATCCTCCTTGTCGAAAGAGGTGATGTACTTGGCTGTCGGACTTACAACCTCTCGACAGGTCTGGCTTGCGGTGGAGGCGGCTCTAATTTGAAAAAAGTAAAATGATGGTGATGTTCAATTTTGGAAAGATGACAACATTTTGGGACAAACTAAAAAGGAAAGTAAGTCAGGTAAAATGGGACAGAGGGAGTAATTATTTTTGTTCTAATTTTTAAAGTCCACACAATTGGTCTTCAATTATCACTAAAAATTGCTAATTTAGTTCTTCACTTAGGGTCCGTTTGAAAATTTGAAAAATACTTTTGGTAAAATGATTTCAAGAAAATGACTCATTTTACGGAAAATAATTTAATTTTCTAGTGTTTGGTTGAATGTTAGAAAGCTATCTTTTTCTGTTTGACTGAAAGTAAAGAAATTGTATTTTTTCTGTTTGGTTCGTTTTCTTGAAATTGAACATATTAATTATTTGTTATAATAATAATAATAATAATAATAATAATAATAATAATAATAATAATAATAATAATAATAATAAGTGGTGGTGGTAGTGGCGGCGGCGGTGGCGGCGGCGGTGGTGGCACGATAGTGGTGGTGGTTGTGGTGTGGTGGTGGTGGCCTTGGTGTTGGTGGTGTGGCGGTGGCAGGTGATGGTGGTGGCGTGGTAGTGGTGGTCGTAGAGATTTGTCATGGTTTGATGTAGACATTTTTCTATGGACCCACATGATAAAAATAACCATTATAGTTTGCCACCTCAGGGAGTATAAACGAGGGAGTAGAATTTTGGGAATCTATGTAGTAGAACTCATGACAAAAATACTATCAACATGTTGCAAGGCTTAGTCCATGGGTAATTGGGTATGTTAAAATCTGTCCACCTTTATCACCATGATTTATCTTGAATCTCTAAAAGCTCTAAGCATAAAGCTTTTAAGGGATTCTCTTAGCTTTAATGGACACTTGAATTAAGGGTTCGTTTGAGAAGTAGGAAAATGACTTTTGGAAAATGTTTTTTGAAAAAAATGAGTCATTTTCTGAAAAACATTTTCCTTTCTAGTGTTTGGTTGTATTCTGGAAAACTGTCTTGATGTGTTTGGTTCATTTTATGGAAAATGAGTAAAATTATTTTTAATTTTAAATATTTAGAATAATAATGATTTTATTATTATTATTATTATTATTATTATTATTATTATTATTATTATTATTATTATTATTATAAAACTCCATAAGTAAGGTTGCTACAGTTTGGGCCACAAATTTAAAGATTAATTTCTAGATTTTTATCATGTTCTCTTCCACTGCTGCAAACCCATTCATCCCCAATTTCCGGTGGCTTCCACTACCTTTCATGGCGGCAACCACCAGATTCTCTTTCATCAATTCCAAGGCATTCAATGGTTGGTCGGCTAGGCAATTGGGCACGAAGCACTGTCAGTCAAGAAGGACGAGCTTCTTTAGAAGCTCAACGATGCGAAAAGCAGCGAGGAGGTTTCCGGCTGTGGGTTTTCGTCCCCACAACCGGAAACCATCTCCGGTGGCTGAGATCTGCCAAATCTGTCATCGGAGAGAAAAAATCAAAACTTAAAAAAAAAAAAAAAAAAAAAAAAAAAAAGAAACATATTTTGGTGGTGGTGAACGGCAACGAGATGAAGAAGAACCAACTAGTGTAGCAAGAAAGAAGATAAGAGTGCATATGAGGTATGGCAGCGTGGTGTTGGTAGAGAGAAAATGTGAGGCTTGGAAAATGACTTCCCCTCAAAAAAAGGGGAAGTCATTTTCCTGAAAAATAGCCTTATTTTCCATTGACCAAGAGAACATTTTTCATTGACTTTTGATTTTCCTTCTTGCCAAACACTAGAAACCAGAAAATGATTTCCAAACACACCCTAATTCAATTGGATATCATATGAGAGAGATATGACAAAAGTACTCTCAACATATCACAAATTGTATATTTTGTCAATAGTCATTGCGTGGACCGTGGTACACAAAGCTGTATGGACCCCAGTCCAAAAACGATGTCGTTTTGCTTAATTTTATTTTTTTTGCGCGCTCAGCTACAACATACATTTTTATAACTCATAATGTACATTATATTACCCCAAATCTTTCATTATTGTAACACGTAATATACATTATTCTAACACTACATAATGTACATTATTCTAACACGTAATGTACATTATTCTAACACATAATGTATATTATTTTTACTCATAATATTTACAATGATATTTTAGACAATAATCTACACAGCTATGTGGACCACAGTCGGCACAATAATTTGCCACGCCATCTATTTGTCAGTCGTTATATTATAGACCGCGGTGCATGTGCACCGCGGTCAAAAACGACGCCGTTTCTTTAAGTAAAGAAACGGTCCGCCGTTAGAGTTAACGGAGTCCGTTTGTTTAGTGTATTAAACACCAATTGACACTACAGTATATCCAAACCGACACTGCAGTTATATCAAAATGATACTGTAGTTATAGTGAAATGAAACTGCAGTGTATATAAACTGAAACTGAATAACATTTCACATATTTGAGTGTATATTATACAATGAAGCTGTAATTATATCAAAATGATCATGTAGTTGTGTTTTAATGAAACTATAGTGTATATAAAATAAAATTAAATAACATTTTCACATATTTGAGTCTATAAATATCGAATGAAACTATAGTTATATCGAAATGAAACTGTAGTTGTGTTCAACTGAAACTGCAGTTCATACAAAATGACACTGAATAACAGAGTTACTTTTTGCAAAAGGGTGCGAAACGGCGGAAATAAACACTGTTAATTTTCATTTAAAAAAAAGACGCGCGGTGCATAATCCATTATGCACCGCGGTGCATAATATAATTTGCCTCTATTTGTAACGTAGGCCATCGTGGAGGACTTTCGAATTTTGGGTAATCCATGTCTGATTGGGCCTAAATAATTTCGTACACCCATAGATGAATCGCAAATTATGCTGTGGACTCTTGTCCACAATGCATTGTGGACACGAGTCCAAAATGATGTCGTTTTCAGAGAAAACGACGCCATTTCAATTTTAAAAAAAAAATTAATTTTGTCTCGCTGTTAACGGTATTAACGGCGTTATTCGTTTGTAGAATTATGAATGTACGATTATGGAATTATGAATGTATAGTTATAGAATTATGAACACAGAGCTCTGACATTATGAACATATAGTGATAAAATTATGAACATAGAGCTTCCAATATTATGAATTTACAGTTATTGAATTATGAATGTACAGTTACGGAATTATGAATATACAATTATGGAAGTATGAATGTACAGTTATGCAATTATGAATGTAAAGTTATGGAATTATGAACACGGAGCTCTGACATTATGAACTTACAATTATGAACATATAGTAATAAAATTATGAACATATGCTCCTATAACAAAGCGGTCTAAAATTTTTTTAAAAAAAAAAAAAACAAAAAAAATAATGAAAGATAACGGTGCCACTAACAGCACCATTACCGTGTCCACAATGCATGTTGGACACTGGTCCATAGCATAACGATTGTTGATGAATCAACCATGCTTATAAAAACATGGGCATGAAATTCTAATGGATATGGACCAATTTCAACAAATGCTTCCAATTATATCAGCCCGTCATAGAGAAAATCAAAGCTTAGACTGTGGACCCGGTTCCACGTAGTAAGATTGTTCTTGGAAATGGGTTTATTTGTAGATTTTATAAATTTATTTTTAATATTCTACATATTAATTTTGACTTGTTAAATTTTAAAAATAAATATATGTATCAAGGTCTACAATGTAAGGTGAATTCTATGGTGCACAATATAATTTGCTATAAAAAATAGATGCGTAAATAAAAAGAAAAAAGTAATGCTATATTTTTCCCTCCTAACTTCACATTCTAATTTTTATATCTTTACATGATAATATTTGATTGGTTTCTTTTATATGTTATTAATAAGTAGATTCTTTAAAAAAAAAAAAAAAAAAAAAAAAACATTGGGGGAAGGGGGTTGGGTGGGGGTGGCCGGGTGGTGGTTGATAGGCTATTAGTAAAAATAATTTTATTGTCACGCCAAGAGATAAAATTAGAAGAGTAAAATAGCATTATTCAAATAACAAAAGGTTAAAAATTCGTAGGTTTATGTT